TTTTGTTTTCTTTTTTCTTTTTCTATTCTTCCGTTTTCTTTTTTTCTTTCGTTTTCTTTATCTTTCTCTCCTCCCATTTTCTTCTTTCGTTTTCTCATCTGACGTTTTTTTTCTCTTTCTGAAGCAAAAAAGTTACTGACGAAATGTGATAACATTTTACAGGTCGGTTGCCTGTGGGTTTCTCTCTCTCTCTCTCTCTCTCTCTCTCTCTCTCTCACTCACTCACTCACTCACTCACTCACTCAAACTCACTAACTCACCTTCACTCTCGCACGCAAGTACGCTCTCACTCACTCACTCTAACTCACCTTCACTCTCGTTCTCACCAACTCACTCACCCACTCACTCATTCACTCACTCACTCACCCACTCACTCACTCATCCACTCACTCACTCATCCACTCACTCACTCACTCACTCACTCACTCACTCACTCACTCACTCATCCACTCACTCACTCACTCACTCACTCACCCACTCACTCACTCATCCACTCACTCACTCACTCACTCACTCATCCACTCACTCACTCACTCACTCACATCAACAGAAAGCTAACTCCTGCCATGATTTCTCTCTGAAATCTGCTTTGATTTCGTATTAAATATCATCTGCAGTTTTATTTACATTCCTGACTATCCACATTTTTATTTCTTTATTTTTTTTTATTCTATATTTACGCGTTGATGTTTGACTGCTCTCTTTCTCTCTCTCTTTTTGTATTTTCATTTTTTCGTTCGTTTTAAGGCTTGTAATTTGCGTTTATTCGTATTCTATAATTTTCTTTGTTTTGCCTTCCTTTGGTTATGTTTTTTCGTGTTTATATATCTTCTTCTTCTCCCATTTTCTCGTTGCGTTATCACTATCTTGCTTTCCTTCCTCCCTTCCTTCCCTCTTCTCTCTTCTCTTATTCTACTCACTTATGGCTCTCCCTTAATTCGTAGTTCATCATCTATTTCTTTTGTGCTTTTCGTTTCTCCTTTGTATAGCTTCCTCTTCTCTTCTACTCTTCCTCTTCTCTTCTCTTCTCTTCTCTTCTTCTCTTCCTTTCTTTCTTTCACTCTTCCTCTCTCTTCCTCACCATTCTTCCCTTCCTCTTTGCCTCCATCTCTCTTTTTTTCCTTCCCCTCTGTCCCTCCTATTCTGTATACACTTACACTTACTCTCTTTCTCTCCCTCTCTTTCTTTCCTTCTTCCTCACTATGCTTTCCTTCCTCTTTGCCTCCTCCTCTCTTCTTCTCTCCCTCCCACCCTCTGTCCTTCATATTCTGTTTATACTTACAGTTACTTTCTTTCTCTCCCTCTCTTTCTTTCTTTCTCACTCTTCTTTCCTCCCTCTCTCTTCTCCCTCCCTCCTCTCTGCCCCTCCTTTTCTGTATATACTTACACTTCCTCTCTTTCTCCTCTTCTCTCTCTCTCTCTCTTTATCACCATTCTTCCCTTCCTCTTTGCCTCCCTCTCTCTACTCCCTCCCTCTCCTCTTCCCCTCATATTCTGTATATATGTACACTTACTCAGTTTCTCTTCCTCTCTTTCTTTCTTTCTTTCTCACTATTCTCTCCTCCCTCTTTGCCTCTCTCTCTCTTCTCCCTCCCTCTCCTCTTCCCCTCACATTCTGTATATACTTACACTTACTCTCTTTCTCTTCTTCTCTCTCTCTTCTCCCTCCCTCTCCTTTTCTCCTTCTCTCTCCTCTTCCCCTCACATTCTGTATATACGCGTATGCTTATACAGTATATTTTTTAACAGGTTGTATGCAAATATCCACCGGCTATGTTACACCGTGTTGCCCTTAACTTCCAAAGAAAAAAAAATGTTTTGACAGTTTTCCTCGTGTGTTTAACTATCTGCTAATGGCGTGGAGTGTCATTTTAATATTAACTGTGAATGACGCATGAGCTCGTTTTCATCAGAGCAGAGGAACAGAGAAAGAGAGAAAAAAAGAAAGAAAGAAAGAAAGAAAAAGGGGTGTAGGAATATGCGATATTTTCGTTTGCTTTATTCTTTTTTAATTGTTCTTATTGTTATTTTGATTATGTAGGTTATTGGGATTTATATTTTTGTATCTTGTTTTGTTATTTTGTGTTCGTCGTTCATTGCGCATTACTCAAGCACAGTCCGATTGCTCAAGAAAAGAGTTTCAGATAATATTTTATGTAAGATACATATATATATCTTATATATTTTATGATATATATCATCATCATCATCACCATCATCATCGCCACCATCATCACCATCAACATTATCACTATTACCACATCATCACCATCTTCATCCCATTAGCTCTTTCCCTCTCATCTCCCCGTTTCTTACTGTTCACCGAGTAATTCTTTTTCTTGCAGTCTCCTTAATCCCTCTTATATCTTGGGTAATGCACATTGATACCCGATCTCTCTCTCTCTCTCTTTTTTTTTCTCTCTCTCTCTCTCTCTCTCTCTCTCTCTCTCTCTCTCTCTCTCTCTCTCTCTCTCTCTCTCTCTCTCTCTCTCTCTCTCTCTCTCTCTCTCTCTCTCTCTCTC